AGGTTGTTGTGAGCTGTGATGCCATGGCACTCTACCCAGGGGGATAGCTTGAGGCTCCGTCTCAAAAAAAAAAAAAATCTTATCCCAGATGGTAGAGCATTTTCAGTGACAATAAGTAAATAAAAATGAAATTAGTAAATAATTGTGATATGCTTGTTACAAATCTTAATATTTTTATTTATGTAATTCAGATAAAAAAGATGTTAGCAAATAAATAAGATAGAAATTTGGCTCTAACACAAGACTACCTGTGCATGTAGACAAAATCCTGCACTCATTGTAAAGAATTGTTTGGGAAGAGATTTTACTATGAGGTCATTTTAGGGTGATAACATACAGCAATGACAGGCCTAAGAAGGATGGTGTGTTCCGTGTGTTCCGCCTAGACCCTTTGTATCATCTAACTCTATAATTCAGAAAAGGAATTTTACCAACTTTGCCCTATGACATCTATGGAACAAAATATTCCAAGATAATTTATGGGATTGTAATATTCTGGGGGGGGGGGTTCAAGTCCTAATTAAAAAAAATCTATATTGGCTGCTATGCCAGTAACAACATACCAGATAAAAAGGTTTTTTTAAAGGAAAGTAAATCTACAAATGTTGTGTTAGAATTGGCTAGAGAATCCCAATTGCCACCTGTTGAGTATCTGTCAGTCTTTTCATTCCAGGGCTCTTTATTACACTTTTGGCCATTTAAGAGGTACAATAAATAGTGTCTCTCTTTGCCCAAGTTCTGAACAAACCTGGAAATAAAGCAAAGGAGCAAGACAGATAAGACTAGAACACCACCTAATTATTGATAGAGCTGTTATTTGACATCTTTAAATGATATGGCTACACCTATACAACATTGGATGCATGAGCAAAGTAGCATCCAGGTGTCCCATGATCATTGTAATCTCCAGAAAGCAAGGGCTAGAAAGGTTCTAAGGTGTGCATGTCTAGGTCTTTGCCTTGAGCTCATCAGTTCGTGAAAGGATGGAAAGAAGCTGGGACTGTGAAGGGTCCGTCACGTGAAAAAAGCATTAGAAATAAAGCAGGTCTTCCTTGTGAAGTATGTCTAATGCCTTCCTCTGATGTGGTCTGTCCATGTCTCTGCTTAGAGTATCTTCCTTGTACCTGATTCTTTTCTGTTCAAAGTACAGTAGACCCTCCATAGTTGACCACCTCCTTAAGTTGACGTAATTTTCATAGGCTGTACATGCATCACATGTACATATCAGTCCTAGTTCCTTGTGATGACTGCCTCTGTATGTTGACCAATTTGTTACAGTCCCTTGGGTGGTCAACTTACAGAGGTTCTACTGTATTATATTAACCTCCACCCCATACTTCTGCAGACATTCCAGAGGAGAATGAGCTATCCCTCCTGATGGGTGCAGTGGCAGAATTATATCTTTATTATTGTCATCACTGATATTGTTGCTGTTTAAATTGTAAATGAATGTGGAATATGTCATACTGGGGAGTTGGTAGAACTACTCTTTCTCTGTGGAATGTGATCAGTTGAGCTGTTATTTTATTTAGCCATAGTCCATTTCAAAATAGGAAGCTTTTGTTTGGGATTTGAAAAGTATCTTCTATCTCTTAAATACCTTTCTCCTTAACAGTTACCATTTAAGATTACTATGAGCCAAGCTCAGTGCTGTACAATTTTTATGTATTATTTTCTTTAATCTATCTTTACAACAACCCCATGATTGAGTTGTTATTCCCATTGTGCAGTTGTGGGGAACTGAGGCTCAGTAGTTACCCGAGGTGGTATGATGGCAAAATGGTAATATTCATATTCATGTCCATCTCACTCTAAAGCAGCAGTTCTCAACCTGTGGGTTGCGACCTACAGGAACTGTATTAAAGGGTCATAGGAAGGTTGAGAACCACTGCTCTAAAGCCTACTATACTAACATGTTTCTTTGTCTTCTGGTTTCCCTACACAGTACTTGTATATAAAATTGAATTTGGTATTAAAATATGCATTATTAGTGATGCTCATTGTTATAAACACAGAAGAAATACAAATATAAAACTTTATTGATAGGCTTAAAAAATTCTGAATAAATAAAGACATTTTACATTTATGAATGAACCAGCTTGATACTTTGCCTCTTCTCTCCTATTTCGTGTATTCAGTTCTTTCTGGGTTTCTTTTCTTATTTTTTCTTTTTGAGACAGAGTGAGACTGTGCCAGTGCAGTGACTTCATGATAGTTCACTACAACCTCAAATTCCTGAGCTCAACTGTTCCTCCTGCTCAGCCTCCCAGGTAGTGAGGACTACAGATGTGCACAATTGACACCTGGCTAATTTTTCTATTTTTAGTGGAGATAGGATATTGCTCTTCCTCAGGCTGATCTCAAACTCCTGAGTGCAAGCAAGCCTCTCATCTTGACCTCTGACAGTGCTAGGATTACAGATGTGAGTCACTTTACCTGGCCATCTTCTCAGCCTTCTTTAAATGAAACTTGGCAAGATAATTGACTGATTCACCTGGAAAAGAAAATGTATAAGATTAGGCAAGACTCAAAAAACTTTGGAGGAGTGAGGAGACCAGCCCTGTCTGACATCAAAACATGGATACAAAAATTATAGTATTTAAAATAATGTGTTATTGATCAGAAACAGAAAGATGGAACAAGGGAACTGAATAGATACTTTAGAAAATGGTCTAATATTATAGCAATTTAGGATAAGATAAAGTTGACATTTAACTTAAGTGGGAAAGGTATAGGCTTTCAATAAACAATTCTTTTGATTACCTGAAAGGGGTACAGGGAAAGCTCTTTATGTATGAAAATAAATTCTAGATACAATAAGAGGATAGATTGGGCATGGTGGCTTATGCCTGTAATCGTAGCACTTAGGAAGGCCAAGATGGGAGGATCCCTTAAGTTCAGGAGTTTGAGACCAGCTTGAGCAATAGCGAGACCCCGTAGAAAATTAGCCAGGCATGTGCCTGTAATCCCAGCTATACAGGAGTCTGAGACAAGAGGACCTCTTGAGCCCAAGCATTTGAAGTTGCAATTAGCTATGATGATACCACTGATCTCTGCCCATGGTGAAAGAATGAGACTCTGTCTTAAAAAAAAAAAATGGGGAGGCACCTGTGGCTCAGTGAGTGGGGCGCTGGCCCCATATACCGAGGGTGGTGGGTTCAAGCCCAGCCCTGGCCAAACTGCAACAAAAAATAGCTGGGCGTTGTGGCAGGCGCCTGTAGTCCCAGCTACTTGGGAGGCTGAGGCAGAAGAATCACCTAAGCCCAGGAGTTGGAGGTTGCTGGAGTGACTCCACTGCACTCTACCGAGGGCGAAAAAGTGAGACTCTGTCTCTACAAAAAAAAAAAAAATGGATTAAATACCTTTCAGAAGATATGAAATTATAAAACTCCTAGAAAAAAACATAGGCAAAATCTCCTTGAGATTGATCCTGGAAATGATATTTTGTATATCATACTAAAAGCTCAGGAAACAAGATAAAAATGAGTGGGCCTGCATCAAACTAAAAAGCTTCTGCACAACAAAAGGAATAGTCAACAAAATAAAAAGGCGATCTGCAGAATGGAAGAAAATGTTTGTGAATTGTATGTCTGATAAAGAACTTAGTCATAACTCAATACCAAAAAAAAAACCCAAGTTCCCCATTACCAAAATGGGCAAACAACCTGAATAGACATTTCTAAAAAGAAGACATAAAAATGCCCAACAGATACTTGAAAGGTGTTTGACATTGCTCATCAGGGAAATACAAATCAAAATCACATGGAAATGGCACATCACAGCAGTTAGGATGACTAGCACCAGAGAGATAAGGCGTAAGTGTTGATGAGGATGCTGAGACAAGGGAACCCTTACTTACACTGTTGGAAGGAATGTGAACTGTGTAGCTAGTATGAGAGTATGGAGGTTTTTTAAAAGATTAAAACAACTATCATTTGATCCAGCAGTCTCACTTCTGGGTATATATTCAAAAGGAATAAAAACACTGTATTAAAGAGATAGCTGCATTCTCTTATGCTAAATGAAATAATTCAAATTCAGAAAGATAATACTGCATGATGTCCTTTACATGTAGAATCTAAAAAAGTCAAACACCTATAAAGAAACAAGAGTAGAAGAGTGGGAGTAGGGAGCTGTCACAGTGTATTAGACTTATGCTTAGAACATGAGTAAGTTGGCTCTGCGCCTATAGCTCAACCGGCTAAGGCGCCAGCCACGGACACCTAAGGTGGCGAGTTCGAATCCCCAGCCCAGACCCGCCAAACAACAATGACGGCTGCAACCAGAAAAAATAGCCGGGCGTTGTGGTGGGCGCCTGTGGTCCCAGCTACTTGGGAGGCAGAGGCAGGAGACTCGCTTGGGCCCAGGAGTTGGAGGTTGCTGTGAGCTGTAATGCCACGGCACTCTACCCAGGGCGACAGCTTGAGGCTCTGTCTCAAAAAAAAAAAAAAAGAACATGAGTAAGTTTTGGAGACCTGGCGTACAGCATGGTGACTGTACATGGTGACTGTATGTTAATTATCATATACTTGAAATTTGCTAAGAGAGTAGACTTTAGATCAGTGGTTCTCAACCGTCCTAATGCCGCAACCCTTTAATACAGTTCCTATGGGTCGTGACCCATAGGTTGAGAACTGCTGCTTTAGATGTTCATACTATGAAAAGATAAGGTAACTGCAAAGTGATAGATACTTAATTTGCTTGACTGGAGTAGTCATTTCCCTATAAATATGTATATGAAAACGGAATATCATATGCCTTAAGATTAAATTAAAAGTGGTATGCCTATTTTTTTTACAGAGCATATCTTTTATTTCCTAGCCTTGTATTTTCATATGTATATTAAAATGTATGTATAAGGATATTTATTGTAGCATTTCTAGGTAATGATAGAAAATTAGAAACAATCTAAATCCCAGTCAGGGAATGGCTACCTACATTATGGAGTAGTCATATGTAGTTGAAAAGAATGAGCTAGATTTACATATCCTGATTGATAAAATATATTGTTAAATTTGGGATGGCACCCATAGCACAATAAGTAGGGCGCTGGCCACATAACACCCAGATTGGCAAGTTCGAACCCAGCCCAAGCCAGCTAAACAGCAAGACAACTGCGACAAAAAAAAGAGCCAGGTGTTGTGGTGGGCGCCTATAGTCCTAGCTACTTAGGAGGCTGAGGTGGGACAATCACCTAAGCCCAAGAGTTTGAAGTTGCTGTGAGCTGTGATGCTGCAGCACTCTACCAAGGGTGACATAGTGAAACTCTATCTAAATAAATAATTAACTAATTAAAACAAGTTACAGAGCAATGTAAGCAATATGATCCGATTATTAAACTTCATGGAAGTAAAAATTAAATATGCAGATGTCCAAATACAGATGCCTGAAAGGGGGTTAAGATGAAGGAAGGCTTTTTAACTTTTGAATCTGTATCCTTCATTTTATTTAAATTTTGTACTTGAGTTCTATACTTTAAACAATATCATAAAGTTCAAAATATATATTTAGTAATATTCCTACTTTAATTCATTATAAGCTGCATTATATATTTCTATCTGGTTTCTTCATCTCTGCATGAATATGTAAAAAATATATAATGAAGCCTTTTGTTCTTACTTCCTAAAGCAGTGTTACTGAGTAGTTAGTGATAATTGTTTCCTCTTTTCTGTATTTCCCTATTCTTGGGAACATTAAGAATAAATAGAAAGGCTCGGCGCCTGTAGCTCAGCCGGCTAAGGCGCCAGCCACGTACACCTAAGGTGGCGAGTTCGAATCCCCAGCCCGGACCCGCCAAACAACAATGACGGCTGCAACCAAAAAATAGCCGGATGTTGTGGCGGGCGCCTGTGGTCCCAGCTACTTGGGAGGCTGAGGCAGGAGACTCGCTTGAGCCCAGGAGTTGGAGGTTGCTGTGAGCTGTAATGCCACGGCACTCTACCCAGGGGGACAGCTTGAGGCTCTGTCAAAAAAAAAAAAGAATAAATAGAAAGTTACTTCTATTTCTATCTTCTATAATGATTTCCTATGGGTCAGATTCTGCTGATGCTTTACATCCGTCACCTCATTTACTGAGGTAAGTGGTATGATGCCCCTATATAGAGGAAGAACCTGAGCATTGGTTGGGGAAGAGACCTACCACAGTGGAACTTCACTTCAGGTCTTTGTCCTTTTGAATATATATCCTGTGCTTGTAACTATTTCCTCTGAGGCTTTTCGCAAGGTATCATCTAGGAAGAGGAAGTAACCACTGAGTTCTCTCTCTTCTTCATGTCCACATTACATGTATACATCCTTTGTCTTTCTCAAGTTACACTGATTTGATCAGACACTGGTAATGACATAGAACTTCTACCAAATGTAAATTGCATTGTGTTTCTTTTCAGATTCAGGGATCAGTTTACTTCATAAAAAGTCATTAGAAAAGGAAGAATTATGCCAAAGACTAAAAGAACAATTAGATGCTCTAGAAAAAGAAACTGCATCAAAGCTATCAGAAATGGATTCTTTTAATAATCAACTAAAGGTATTAATCCTTGAATATGTTCATTTTTAATGTGTATGCCTTCTTACCTTCTTTATTTTGATTTAATAGAATGAATAACTAAAGGTATTATTGTTATATGTATTACATTTCCATAATTTGTTTTATAGTTTCAACTATATCACAATTTCAGGATTATTTTTAATATTGGTTATAAATATAAACATTGTGTCATGTAACTAAATATATCATATACATCACAGTTTCTAGTTTTTTTTTGGCTGGGGCTGGGTTTGAACCCGCCACCTCCAGTATATGGGGCCGGTGCCCTAGTCCTTGAGCCACAGGCGCCGCTCAGTTTCTAGTTTAGATGACTGTGCCATTTTTATTGGCATCTATACATTTCAAGAATGATAGTGCCTTTATCAAGTATTACAGAACCAACTCAGCCAACATTATCTAAGTCAATATTCTAAAATTGGAAATAAGGAAAATTTAAAATAGTTTGGGTGATATAGGCTCTTTTAACACACTGAGTTCTTCTTTTGGTTTTTTGTTACAATGTATTTAATTAACCTTTATGAACTAATGTAATACTCGTAATCAGTGAAATCCAAAGCATTATCTGGCACTATAAACTTTGCATGAAAATAAGTTCATCATTCATTGTTGCAGTGGCAGGGTAGGTGTCAGAAACCTACTCTGTGTGCCTATCATTTTGTGCGCTTTAGCTGTGTACTGAAGCCAAGCCTATGAAAAAAGATAATAAAAGTTGCAGACAGACTAATAGCATATAATTCAAGTTTGTGAATAGTTATTTGTAACTTTGTTAATCCGAACATAAAGTTTTCAGAGCATAAGGTGTTTTCTGTAAGAAATAAAGCTTTTCTTTAAGAAAGCTATCTCTTGATAGAGCTTTTATCTTATTAACTTAGAATAACATTAACATCAACTATAGTATAAACAGCATGATAAAAAAAAAAGGACACCATGGTGCCTTCAGGTAAAAGAGAAATTTAAGGTGAATAATGTTAAGGATGCACTTCATGTAGTATATATTCTGTAGGAAAAAATTTTAGGCCGGGCGTGGTGGCTCACGCCTGTAATCCTAGCACTCTGGGAGGCCAAGGCGGGTGGATTGCTTGAGCTCAGAAGTTTGAGACCAGCCTGAGCAAGAGTGGGATCCCGTCTTTAAAAATAGAAAAACTAGCCAGGCTTTGTGGCGGCTGCCTGTAGTCATAGCTACAAGGGAGGGTGAGGCAAGAGGATTGCTTAAGCCCAAGAATTTGAGGTTTCTGTGTACTATGATGCCTCAGCACTCTAGCCAGGGTGACTGAGTGAGTCAAAAAAAAACAGCTTTTTTTTCTTTTTTTTATAAAGAAAACCAAATTGTTTTTTATTGATGATTAGATAAGCCAGCCAAGTTATCTTCCCTATATTATTTCTTTCAAAATCTGTACATAGTTTAATTGGCTTTTTATCTGCCTTATCTTACAGTGTGGGAATTTGGATGACTCAGTTCTTCAGTGCCTTTTGTCTCTGCTAAGCTGTCTCAACAACCTCTTCCTCTTACTTAAGGTTATTTTCTAATACCTAGCTTCTTTTTTTGGTTACTTTAATGTTTTCCTTTTTTTTTTTTTAATACTATTCTTTGTTTGAAATAACATATATAATATAGACCTTTTTTTCTTCCTCCTTGCTGGAATATTCTTCTGCTGTCTAACTGCCTGTTTGAGTCAAATGCGAGAAATTAGTAAGATTGCTCATGGTAATGTTTCTCACAAGGAGCCAACACACTTACAAATATTACCTGTTTCCTGTAACAACATCCCCATGAGTGGGTTAACTGATGGGATGATTACTAATTCAGTTTAAAGGAAAACTAAGTGAATACGAGATTAAATCACCCAAGTCACTGGGAATCATTATTAAAATAAAACATACTTTTTGAAATCTAGGGCAAAGTCATGTCTCACACACACACACACACACACACACCAGGCTGCTTCCTAATACTGCTATAAGAAAAATGATTTTGAGAACCAATAATGTGGCTTGGCGCCTGTAGCTCAAGCGGCTAAGGTGCCAGCCACATACACCTACCTGAGCTGGTGGGTTTGAATCCAGCTCGGGCCTGCCAAACAATGACAACTACAACCAAAAAATAGCCGGGCATTGTGGTGGGTGCCTGTAGTCCCAGCTACTTGGGAGGCTGAGGTAAGAGAATCACTTAAGCCCAGGAGTTGGAGGTTGCTATGAGCTGTAATGGCGCAGCACTCTACCCAGGGCAATAGCTAGAGGCTCTGTCTCAAAAAAAAAAAGAAAAGAACTGTAATGCAGGGGCAACTTTAGTTAGGTCCAATTACCAGGCTTCCTATTTAGACATGCTTGCACTTCAGATAAAAATGTTTAAATTACATATATAAATAAGTAGTTTCTTTTGCCATGTATAGAACACAGCATTTAAAATACTCAATAAATTCCTATTTTAGTGTGGTTTAAAGACAGGTGCTTTCTATTTATCACTTGCTAACCCTAGTAGATTGTTACTACACATTCTGCTAGGTACTGAAATGGATGGCAGTAGGGCAGTTGCATATGTATTCCACACTGGAGACTGGAACATAAGTGCCTCAGCTGTTACCTAATTAAAGGCAGAGCAAATTCGAGGTGATAGCCGCAGGAGTCCCTTGTAGCTTTATGGTTGTGCATGAATGGCCAGATTATCTGGTGTTAGAACTTTCGCTACAGATTGCCTAGAACCTCAAACCTAAATTTCCTCCCCTCTTTCGTGAGGTTCAGTGATTTGTGGACTGTTCTCACTCACATCGTCTGATTCTTTCAGTTAGCATTTGATTCTCCACAGGCCAGCAGATTTTTCTTGTCCTTGTTTTACTTTCTTCCTTTTGCTTCCTGCCTTCTAGGCTTTCACTGCTTATTAATACTTTAATCAGAGGCAATTTAGGAAACTAAAGACTTATGAAATCTTTACTGTCACAGTGGTTGAGAGACTGACTCTATGGTCACAGAAAGCAAGAAAAGAGGCCCTCTGTAGTCATCATTATAAAATGATAGCAGAGTGGTCAATTAACAGAGTACTAAAAACTGTTTATTAAATTTGTTAATAAGGAGACCTTGGAAGACCTTGCTAAAAGTGTGATTTTGGTTGAGTGATAAAAAGCTGGTTGCAGTGGATCAGGAATGAGTGGGAGTTCAGGAGGAGTTAAGTAATATGAACAGCTCTTAGAAGCACAGTGAAAAGAGAGCATGAAATCAAAGAAACAACTAATTTTTGGTTTAAGAAAGACTTGAAGGAGACAGTAAAGAGAAATGAAAGGAGGGGGAAGAAACAGATTGAGATTGAGTTATGGAGTTGAGTCCTTGGGGAAGCAAATTAAGATGGAATGGGAAAAAAATAGATAAAAAGTTTACTTCCAGTGTAACATATTGGGAAAAAATGGATGTGAATGCAGTTAATTTGTTGGTGGAAAGTTGGAAGTTGATAGCTTCAAGACTTAAAATCAGGCTCAGTGTCTGTGGCTCAAGCGGCTAAGGTGCCAGCCATATACACCTGAGGTGGCAGGTTCAAATCCAGTCCGGGCCCACCAAATGACAGTGATGGCTGCAACCAAAAAATAGCCAGGCATTGTGGCAGGCGCCTGTAGTCCCAGCTACTTGGGAGGCAGAGACAGGAGAATCGCTTGAGCCCAGGAATTGGAGGTTGCTGTGAGCTGTGATTCCATGGCACTCTACCGAGGGTGACAGCTTGAGGCTCTGTCTCAAAAGAAAAAAAAGTCTTAAAATCAGAAGTAAATTGGACAGTCCTAAGAAATTCCCAAGTAGTTGAGGACATGACAACTTGATGGGGCCCCGAAGAAGAGGGGTACCGGTGTAAGAAGTCTTATTAATTTTTGAGATGGAAAAATTAGCGATTTCTGGTCTAATGGCTCAATGAGGCAAGGTTTATGGCTAGCAGTAAGGAGACTATAAGGAAGATTAGGAAGTTTCGGGAGATGTATGCATGAAATACATAACTCATTGTGGGGTAGCAGGAGTGTAAACTCAGTAGAAGAAAATAATAGGTTTGCTGAGCAATGTTGAATATTGTTTGAAATTGGAGGTCATGAATTTAAATTGAAAATAGTTTGCCTGATGTATGATTTTTCTCTACCAGCGTTCATCTGCTTAGGAGTAAACACAGAGAATGCTGATAAAATAGGTTCATGGGTTCATACAGGTTTGGAGTTTCAAAAAACATAGGCAGAGAGAGAGGGACAAGAGTTACAGATCTTGACACAAGAATTATGATAAAGATGAACTTTGAAATATGAACTAGACATGAAGGGATGTAAAGAGAAGAAGGGGTGCTGATAAAGAGAATGGTGGATTCAACAGAATGGTCTCAGTGGGGTCAAAAACCTAATGGCATGGATGTACCAGGTGGCTAAATAGCTCACAGAGTAAGAACTTAGGTTTGAGTGATGGGATATTTGATCAATGGTGGTTCTGTTTCTGATGATGGTGAGATACATAATAATAGGGTATTATATAATAGGAATGATGAAGCTGGGTACAGTGATGCACACCTGTAGTCGCAGCTACTTGGGAGATTCAGGCGAGAGTTTGAGTCCAGCCTGGGCAAAATAACAAGACCCCATTTCATTAAAAAAAGAAGAAGAAGAAGAAGAAGAAGAAAAGGGGAAAAAATAATGGAAGCGATGCATTAAGAGGAGAAAAAGGTCATTGATGAGGAGACTAACCTTAGAGTTGAGTACTGATTAGGTCATCTGTCAGGATGTCAAAGACTTAGAGAATAGTGAAGATGAAAGAATGAGAATCAGTGACCAGTTTTCATTCAGAGAAGATATGTAGATATATGGAAATTTTCTGATCACAAACAGAGTAGAGAGATTTGAGGAAAGAATAAATGAAGGATGGAGTCAGCTCAGGGGATAAACAGCATTTTTTCAATGTAAACAGCAATTGTAACAATTGAACTGACACAGAATAGCAAGAAAGGCTAGGGCTGTTAGTAGGTGAGA